CCTCTGCCCCAGCGGGAGTGAGTGGCCAATGCAGCAGCCTTGGCCCAAACCAGCTCTGGCCGCATCTGCAGGGTGAGGAGCTCCTGGGAGTGCTGGCCCAGGCACGAAAGCCTTGCAGAGCCTTGCAGAGCTGAGCCTGTGAGAAAAAGGAGGGAGCACGGAGACCTGTGGGGCAGGCGCTATGAGGGTCTGCCTAGGCCCCAGGCCTCCTGGCATGCTCTCATCAGTGAGTCCTGAAGGTTCCCCCTCACCAGGCCTCCAACTGGCTGTCCCATCCTGCACAAGTCCCATAAAGCCTTTGACCCAATGTCTGCCTTCAGCAACACAGCAGTGAGAATTCTTCCACAGAATGGTTGTTATCGGCATTCACTGCAAGAAGAGAAGTGCCTAGTGGTGTGCATCCTTGTGTGTACGGAACACACACACACACCCATTCATTAAGAATGAGCGGGAGAGACAGGGAAGCAAGTAGATCATCCATGTTCAGTCTCCAAATGGCTGCAGCTGCTGTGGTTGGGCCTGGAAGAAACAAGAGCCTTAGGGTCTCCCTTGTGGGTAGAAGGGCCCGGGCCACTGCACACCGCTTTCACAGGCACATTAGCAGGAGATGCATCAGAAGCCGCGCAGCTGGGAGTTGAATCAGTGTGCCAATGAGGGAAGCCAGTGGCAAGCAGTGGTTCAACCCATTTTCACCACGTTCATCATCAATTTTTTTATTCCTAAAGGCACTGCTCTTCAATCAATACCGATCAAGTAAATTATCGTTTAAGTGCTGTGCAGAGAGAGTAAGAACTATCTAGGAATGAATGACCGAGATCCGGCAACTCCATGGGAAGCCATGGCGGGCAGTAAGAATGGAACCAGCCCTACGAGGAAGCCCCAGCATCCCCGATCATCAGAGAAGTGCAAATCAGTACGACACTGACATGTCACCTCCCACCTGTAAGGACGGCTGACAAGCGGTAAGAAGTGTTGAGGGGACTGTGGAAGAAGGGGAGCCCCCGTGCGGTCCGGGGGGACGTCTTTCCATGCAGCTCTTCTGTACAATCGTACGGAGGTGCCTGGAGAAAGTGAACATACGAGTGCCATGAAACACAGCAATGCCCTCCTCTCCTGTGCACATACCCAAAGGGCGTGAAGTGAGCACCACGCATGGACTGCACACCCTCTGTTCACTGCACCATCATTCACAGGGGTTGTGATGAGACAAGCTGGCTGTCAACAGGCAGCTGGATAAGGAATTGTGTGGGGTGTACTGAGATCTTACTCCGCCTTCAAACAGACGGGTGTGTTGCCATCTGTGTCCACGTGCATGAAACTGCAGGACTGTCTGCTAGGTGAAATCGGCCAGGCACAGAGAGAAAATCAGTGCGTGATCCCTCTTCCATGGATACCTGCATGACACAGCCCCCTCTCAGCCCAGCGACAACGCACGGAGGGCTCAAAGAGGGCACGGAGGAATTTCAGTGGCAGTCTCCTGGTCCCTGCCCGCAGTGCTTCATGCACTATGTGGGAGGGTTCTTCAGAAAGTTCATGGAAATGCAATTATGAAACATCTGCACGGATTTCCAATGCCTTTGTAGCAAAATCCACTTGTCTTTAATTCCATTTTCCACGAACCCTTTGAAGCCGGTTGTACTGTGTTTCCCACTAGAGTTATGGCTACATATGAACAACTACAGGGTATAACCCGGTTCTCTCAAAAATGACTTTGCTGGGGCCGGCGCTGTGGTGCAGAGGGTGAATGCCCTGGCCTGAAGCGCTGGCATCCCATATGCGTACTGGTTCTAGTCCTGGCTGCTCACTTCCCATCCAGCTGTCTGCTATGGGCTGGGAAAGCAGTGGCAGATGGCCCAAGTCCTTGGGCCGCTGCACCTGCATGAGAGACCCAGAAGAAATTCCTGGCTTCTGGCTTCGGATTGGTGCAGCTCTAGCCGTTGTGGCCAACTGGGGAGTGAACCAGCAGATGGAAGACCTCTCTGTCTCTACCTCTCTCTGTAAATTTGTCTTTCAAGTACATAAAAAAAATCTTTAAAAAATGACTTTACTGTCAAAACTGGCTGTGATTTTCCTGTCACAGGACTCTCCCCGATGAACAGAATTATTTTTAGGAAAGTCTGCAGGGCTGGGGGCATGGCTGCCTGAAACCGTCCTTGGGACTGCAGTAACGACGTAGGTTCTGGATCTGCCTATCCAGACACCTGCTCCGACTTTGCCTGCAGCGGCCCAGGCCTTGCCTCTGTCCATATTGCCCTGCTCCATGGGCCGGTGCCATAGCTCACTAGGTTAATCCTCCGCCTTGCGGCGCAGGCACACCGGGTTCTAGTCCCGGTCGGGGCGCCGGATTCTGTCCCGGTTGCCCCTCTTCCAGGCCAACTCTCTGCTGTGGCCAGGGAGGGAGTGCAGTGGAGGATGGCCCAAGTGCTTGGGCCCTGCACCCCATGGGAGACCAGGAGAAGCACCTGGCTCCTGCCTTTGGATCAGCGCGGTGCAGCGTGCCAGCCGCGGCGGCCATTGGAGGGTGAACCAACGGCAAAGGAAGACCTTTCTCTCTGTCTCTCTCTCTCACTGTCCACTCTGTCAAAAAAAAAAAAAAAAGATCATATTGCCCTGCTCCTATGCGCCTTCCCTGTCTCAAATACAGCCCAGCACAGGCAGAGCAGGGCAGGCATGACGCAGTGTCAGTGCTGGAATGAACTAGAAGTGGCCCATAGAAGTGGCCCATCTGGGGAGATGAGGAGATAGAGCCAGCCGAGGTGCAGCCGACTTGGGGTGGCCTGTTGGACCACTCTCCACACTCACGCACTCACACACGCACGCCCAGTCTTTCACCTTTGCCAGAGTGCCTCTTGGTTTATGCATCACCCTGCGGAGCTCTGCGTAGAAGTTCTGTTATTTCCTGCTACTAATTGCTACTGGAATTTTGAGGATCCCTTGGTATTTTGTTTTCTGGTGGACGACACGGACAAACTCAATGGGACGGATGTGCCATTGGCTTTCTGCATGTGCTGCTACGTCCGAACGCTGTTGCTGTTTAATTAAGAGCCTTCCATTTCCAGGGGTTTATTTGTACATCTTGCTTGGGTATTTCCCACAGACCTATCACCAGGTGTAAGTAATGGCAGTATTGTCTTCTTCCCACTGTGAGAGACCTGGTTCTCTTTCCAGCCCCGTGACCCTTGGTGAAGTGCCTTTCACCTGCTGCTTCCTGCTGTTGGTGACAACAGGCCTCTCTGCCCCGAGGATGACGGTAAGGGAATTGTCCCCACGGTTCGACATCGTTGGTGTGTCTCTGAGCATGAAAACACTGAGGTGCACAGCCTGCGGGCTGCACGTGCCTAATTGGTTTTGAATCACCGGGTGATGACTTCCTTCCAGAGCTCTCTGCTCATTGACACAGGGTTAAAGGCGGTCATTAGCAGCGCTATCTGGATTTCTTGTTGCTATTCTCTCTGTCCCGTTTCTTGCCTTGGGTGCCGCTCATGCTCAGGTACCTGCTACCCTTGAGACACGACCGTCTTTATCAGTGACTCTGGGTATAAATGGGGTCCATGTGATCCTGGGAAACTGACCCCGCTGCTACCTGCAGAGGGCACTTGGATTGGGAAACCACCTCCCACTTCCCTTCCCCCTAAGTGCAGGGATTCTGTCAGGGAGGAGGTCGGGGCAGGGGGTGTCGCTTCTCAGTGTCCCCTCTGCTGATAGGGACTCAGCGTCACTGAAAGGGACCTGGGTGCTTAGGAGCAGTGCGACCCACATGAGGGGGACAGCACGGGTCTCCTGCCCAGGGCGAGCATTCCACAGGGCACCACCTAGACGACAGAAAAAGCGGAGGGGCCCGGTCTAGTCGCTAACCCGTGGTGTGGGTGCCATTCCTTGGCCAGGACCCCAGCGCCTGCAGAGGCCAGCCAGGACTGCGTGGCGGGGAGAGGCTTGATAAAAGGAGCTGTGGACCCGGGGGGAGAACCCGCACGCGGGTCTCCCCGACCCCTAGCCGGGCTCCCCAGGAAGAAAGCGCGAGGAGGGGACTGCGGGGAGCTCAGGGCGCACTGGCTGCGCGGGTTCTGCAGCGGGCAGGTGGCTGTGACCCCAAGAGCCAGGGGCTGACACACGCAGGCCGGGGGCTCACTGAGGGGCCCCTGCGCACCAGAGTGGCGAGGTGAGAGGACGCCTGGGAGCAGGGAGCGCTCGGCTGGGGGCCATGCCAAGCCGCCTGGCAAGGTGGAGGACCTGTTGAAGAAAGCAAACTGCATGACGTGACTCAGCACAGACCACACACTGACTGCTCTGCCAGGGATCCCGCTGTCCGCGGGACGACACCGGGCCTGCCCAAAAGCCAGCCAGCGCCAGGCCCAGGGCGACGACGACCTCCTCGACCCCGACCCCGACCCGCGGCCAGAGCTTTGCGTGTCCGGTGCCAGGCGCCGGGCGTGTGGCCAAGAAGTGCCCGGGCCGCCGCGCAGCGCCGCGCCAGGCTCCACGGCACAGGTGGGGACAGCGGGGAGCAGCCACAATGCGGGGCTTGGACCGTGCGGGAAGCAGGTTCCCGGCGCCCGGGGTGCGGGGCGCCTGCGCAGTGGGCCTGAGGCGTCGCGCTCCGCGGGAGCCCGGAGACCCCCGCCCCCGCCCCTCGCCCGCCGGCGGGAACGCGCACGCGAACGGGGCCCGGAGCGCGCACGCGAGTGCGCTTCACCTCGCTCAACCCGTGCCGGCGCGGCTGAGGCGGACAGGCGAGCGGGCGAGCGGGCGAGGCGCGCGGGGACGCGGTGGGCCTCGGAGGCAGGCGGCGGCTCGCGGGCTCCGGGCGGCGGCGGCGGCGGCGGCAGAGGCTGTGGCGGTGGCAGCGGCGGCGGCACCGCCCCCACGCCCACGCCCACCCCCGCCCCCGCCCCCACCGCCACCCCGGCGGCGGGGCTCGGGACCCTCGGCGCGCGCCCGGCTGGCCGGCCGAGTGACGCGGACTGCTCGGCACCGCACGCGGCCAGCTACGCGGCCGGCCACGACCCAGCTTGCCTTAAGCTGCGGGCTCGCGGCTCGGACGCCACTCTCCGCCAGGCCCTCGCCTCGGCTCCTCCTCTCGCGGCCCCTGGGCTCCCCGGCGGCGGCAGGATGAAGTGCAAGCCGAACCAGACGCGGACCTACGACCCCGAGGGCTTCAAGCAGCGCGCCGCGTGCCTGTGCTTCCGCAGCGAGCGCGAGGACGAGGTGCTGCTCGTGAGCAGCAGCCGCCACCCCGACCGCTGGATCGTGCCGGGCGGCGGCATGGAGCCCGAGGAGGAGCCGTGCGGCGCGGCCGTGCGCGAGGTGTTCGAGGAGGCGGGCGTCAGGGGCAAGTTGGGCCGGCTGCTGGGCGTCTTCGAGCAGAACCAGGCCCGCAAGCACCGAACCTACGTGTATGTGCTGACGGTCACCGAGCTGCTGGAGGACTGGGAGGACTCGGTGAGCATCGGCAGGAAGCGCGAGTGGTTCAAAGTGGAGGATGCCATCAAGGTGCTGCAGTGCCACAAGCCGGTGCACGCCGAGTACCTGGAGAAGCTCAAGCTGGGCGGCTCCCCAACGCACGACAGCCCCGTGGCCGCGGCGCCGCCGCCCCCGCCGCCGCCGTCCGGCGAGCCCCAGTAGGTACCGCGCCCCGCGCCCCGCGCCCCGCGCCGCCCGCCGCCCCCGGCCCCTGCCCTGCGCTGCGCTGCCCGCTGCCGGGGGCACCTCTGCTGCCATGTGCGCTCCCGCGGAGGAGCGCGGCTCCTTTTGTTCCCCCAGCGGACCTCGCAGTCGCGCCTGCGGGCGGTCTCGCCGGCCGGGCGCCGTCCCCGGCCCGCTGGCCCGGCTCTCCGACGCTGGCAGACGCGCTCGCGGCTCGCCGCGCCGGGCAGCGTCGCGGGGCGCCTGGCGCGCGCGGGCTCGGGCTCCGGGCTCCGGGCTCCGGACTCGGCGGCTCGCCCTGCCCCGCGGGCCCGGGGGCGTGGGTGGGGTCGGGGCGCGTGGGGCCCGTTCCGCAGAGATGGGCGCGCGGCGGCGGCGGGGATGCTGGTCCCGGGCTTTGCGTCCTGGCCGAGGCCTTGGAAGTGCCGCCGGCTCGCCCACCGCGGCGGTGTCCCCCTTAAACTGTGCTCTTCTCCCGCAGCCTTCGCCCCCGTCCGCCAGCCCTGCCTGCCCTGCCCTGCCCTGCCGGGACTTGCTTCCAAAGATCGGCTGGGAATTGAAAGCAGAAAAGACGTAGGAAATCTGGCCTCTGGCGCTGCTTCTGCGCTCCGCCGTGGTTTCTGCCTTGGCACTGGCCGTGCTCTCGTCTCCCATGCCCTTTCCAGAAGCGTCTTTGTGCAGTGAGCTCTAGATGCTCTCCCAGCTGCTGAAGGTGCAGTGTGCACTGCCGGTGGCCAAGTTCGGCGGGGACCGTCCCGCGGGACTGCCGCCCGGCTTGCCTCCCACCCGTCTGACCGGGGACCCTGCCCCAGCCCGCGGGGAGACGGCTGTCATCCCCTCGGCCGCCCCCTGCGCGCCGCGGTTCTCACCCTGGCGGCCCGGTTTGGCGGGCAGGGCCGGTGCTCTGCCTTCCCGGGCGGCAGGGCGGTCCGCTTCCCCTTCCCCTGCCTGCCCGGGACGGGACGCGCGCGAAGGGCCTCCCCTGGTGAGCACAGGGAGGTGGCTCCCTGGAGATCCACCTGTTCGCACTCGTCACTCCGCTAGGGCACCTGCGCGTCTTCTCCTAGAGGTGGGCGCTGAACGTCTCCTTTCACGGGCAAACTTTTCCAGGTGCCAGACTCACAACTCTTTCGCCTGCCTTCTACTTGCTTGTCCTCAGGAATCCGGTCTAAAAGACAGATGCCTGTCTTCCGGAATGAGCCCCGTTCCCACCTGTTCCCCAGCCGTGTCCAACGCAGGCACGGGGGAATCCTCCTTTGTGAAGACAGTGTTAGCGGTGGAAAGGTCCATGTATGACATTTAAACATTTAAAAATATCCTATGAGTAAATAATGAGTACAAGGCGAAATATACTAATTATTTTAAAACAACCTGTTTTTTGAACCCAAGGGCTGCTAAAATTTTAATGGAGTTGCTCTTTAAACAAACTGAATGTCTTATTGATATGCCGCATACATAGACACTACATACATGTTAACTGTTCAGCTTACTGGTCTTTTAATGAACTGACACAGGTCTTTATAATGTCTGTAAGGAATAGCCCACTGCTGTCCTCCTGATAAATACTACTGTGCTTTCTATTCTTATGGTAGCATAGGCTAATGCTACAATTATACTCCTTTGTGCTGCCCCCTTGTGTGTTTTGTCTATGTTACCATTCAAAATATTCCAATATTTTTCCTCATTTGGTTTACATTGTAACTTCACTAATTATTATTTTCGTATGCTGCTAAAAGAGGTGCCATTGCACTTCCTAAAGAAATGTGCTTCCACTTTTTTTTTTTTTTTGGAAAATACGTTTTACTACATATTTAAGTACTGACAAAATGCAAGTCTCAGTGGCCGAAACATTTTCTAATTCCAGTAGAAGAAAGAGTAAACTAGAAAATGAGCGGCTTTTTAAACCCAATGACAGTTTCATTATCCGAATTCTCTGGTATGCTCAAGTATGGTTACTGGATTTTTTTAAGATGATACATATTACATCTACATTTTGAAGATATATTTTTGATTACAAATTGACTCTTGCTGTTCAGTCTCAAAATTATCCTAAGAGATTTTTTCCCCAGTAACTTATTCAAGAAGACTCCTGAATCCTATGGTAACCTTGACACAGCACATAGAGTGTATTCTATTTTATGGGTATTTTTGTAGATTAAAACTCCTCCCACCTCAAATGCTATCACAAATACTTTGGAGGCTTAACTTCAGGTAATAATAGATCATTATCTTTGCTTCTTATGTATCTGAGAAAGGCTCAAATATACAATATTCATATTGATTTGTTCATGAAAATTATTAGCCTGTAAATATGAGTTTCTTTTTTCTGGTTTTGTTAATTTTTTCCAGAAACATTTGAAATAATCCTGCTGTTTTTTAGGGTTTATTGTCAGGTTCATGTAAGTAGTTTTTGCAAAACATTTTGTGGCACACAGCTTCCTCGGAATGATTAAAAGAACCAAAGTGATTCTTTTTTTTTCTTAAAGACAAAGTCAACAGCTTCAAGCTAAAACCAGTTATCAGATGTAGTATATAGAAAATTGCTCACACATCAGTGTTTCAAAACCAGATGTACCACTTTTTTCCTTGTAAGAATGTTAGAAGTTAGTTATACATTATTTGTGAATGCCGTAAATATGTACAGCTAAATTTTATAGCTTTGCCTCAACTAAAAATGGAAAATGAGCACTTTCCCGAAATAGTTGTGATTTATGGATATGAATCAGAAATTGATTTTCTGCATGTTTTATGAACAGTTTACATTTCAGCTGATCAAATGTTTTATCCTTGTGACTGTAAAAAGAGGAAACAGATTAAGATAGATACATCTGTGTCCTGGAAATGTAATTAATGCCTTATCTATAATATCCTATGAAGATTTCTCAAGAATTGTAGGTGTGTATGTGTGTGTAGATAGAAGAATCTTTTTTTAAAGAAGCAAACTAAAGGGAGGGAATTGTTATACAGTAATTCAGTGGATTTTTGACTTTGCAGAGATTCGTTTGGGATAATTGATATAAAGCTTTCACCTCCAGGCTTCTCTTGTCAGGGAGCCCCCAGATACTACTACAAAGAATTTAACAATATTTCCGTAGTCAGGGTCTTCTGATAATCTGCTATACTGTATTAGCAGATTTTAAACGTTTTTCAGCAAAATCACTATGAGAAGTGCAAGTCACTATCGTGACTGTAATAAAGCATGACATTTTTATGTGAGACAGCTTGATGTGATAAGGCTTTGAAATCAGACCTACTTCCAGTCCTTACTCACTCTGTAACTTCAGCCAGGTTATCCAATTATCAAATGATCAGTGTTTTTTTTTAATAAATCTGTCATTGGAGATAATAAAAGTAGATACTTCATAAACATCTTCCATGAGCATCCTTTCCTGACTACCTGGGTTAAGAACCGCCCCCCCCTTCTATTTCTTCTATGTCCTACTTGTCACAATTAATTTTACTTCATCTATTTGCATGTGACCATTTGCATGTGGCCACTAGACTGTAAACTCTTTAGTGGGTGGGAATCAACCTGAATTACTTCCATAAGCCTAGAGTACAATACATGGAATTTAGGATTTTTTTTTATGTCCCAAATGCGTACTCTTTTTTTGCAGAACTTCTGGCATCACCGCCCTGTTGACTTTTTGTGTGTCATGGTGTATATTGGCTGGTGACTCTCTCAGCTGCTGTACCAGACTCACAGTACATCTGCATCTGATGTCTGTGAAGGCTTTCCGAATGTGAAATGACTGAAGCATGTAATAAACCCTTGGTAAATTTGCTACTTGGAAAACTTGTTAATAGAAGTCTGCTCATTGTATGTCGGTTTGCTTTTCCAGATGAACAGCGAAGATGTTCAGGATCGCTCTGAAAGAGTCACTGAAGTGAACCTAGTGATCAACGGAATTGGCAAGTGCACGTGAGCGCGTCTGTGTTCCCAAGGAGACCGCTCATCTGCTTTTCCTCTTACGTCTTGGAACACTCCACGCTGTCAAGTCCACTGGCTCCTCTTACTCTGGTTGTTGTAGTACTGTACGTGAACAGACTCTTAATCCAGCACCTATAGCCTTTTGTTGTGCTTCTTTGATGTGTCTGCCTTCTGCATTAGACTGTATCAAGAGCAAAGACTATTTTTATTTACCGTTTGCATATCCTGAATTTGAGACATTACTTGAAATATGGTTGGCATTACTGAAGGCTCTTTGATTCAGCTAGTATTTTGTAATTGCTGTCTGGCAAAACATGCCCCTTCCAATCTGGTGCTAGTAGAGTAGATACTGTCTAGGCACCACGTGTGTGGCTTCTGTACATCAGGTGTTTCCAAGGCAGTTCTAAGATGTTTGAGGACAAGAATTATTAGTCATATATCTGTCATACCACACAGTGACTGGCACAGTTTTAAGATTACTCCATTACTTAAGGCAGCGTTTTGTAGAATCAGCCCTTCATGTAACAACTTTAGTGTTTTTGTACTGTTGTTAATTTGCTTAAAATTTTACTGACAAACTAACACTTGCTATAAAGGTAATTATAAAAATAAATACAATGGATACAAGAGAGTATTGTGTTTTTATAAAAATACACTTTAAATAATATACAGATAACATGTTTAAGGTTTTTGCAATGCCCTCAACCCCTTCTTACATGTAATTGTAACATCTCTTTGAGGGAAACATTGTTTTTCTCAATTTACTGATTCAGTACACTGGATTCATTGATGCCAGAGCCAAGAAAGACTGCAGTACAGGCATTTTCCAAAGTTAATTATGCTGTTTAGTTTTTCCTGTCTCCCTGATTGGATTGGCCACCATTTTAACCCCTTTTGCAGTCCACCCAGTCCTTCAGTCCACCTGGTCTCTGCTCAAGAGAATGCAGAGGGCTGAATCCTAAATTGTTATCTTGGAAAAGGCCTTGGACAAAGAGGCTGTCATGAATGAGGAACACAAAATGAAAGATTTTAAAAAGAGAGGACATGGGTCATCTGCCTCTTGCAGAGCGTGTTCAAGAAAAAGGCCAAGCTGTTTAGAGGAAACTGTATGGGGTTTTGCTGTGGCTGAGTGATGGAAGCACTCTTTGCGAACTGCTTACAGAGGCCCCATGTGACTCTAACGTGGTAGCTGTTTACATTTTCTTTGGCATTGTAAAGCAATTGCATTAAGGCAAACTTGGACCCCATTGCAGTGGCACACCCTTCTTCCATGGGACCAGGGCAAAGTATTGACCGTGCCCCCAGTTCTTGAAATACAAACACATCTTCCCACTATATTGGCTTTATTATTAGGTATAAGATGCTACTATGGTTATGTTTTTAAGAAAATTCTTATCTTTTAGAGAAATGTATTGAAAAATTTACAGATGATATGCTACTGATATTTGCTTCAAAGTAATCTGAGGGTGGGGTAGATGAGTGCATAAATGAAACACGGTTGACTATAAATTGCTATTGATGCTGTGTGATGAATGTTTGAGAAGTCATTATACTATTCTCTATACTTTTGTATATGTTTGAAATTTTCCATAATAAAAATTGAAAATATTCTTCAGAGCTTATTTTGTAGACTGCTTCTCTGTAAGACTTAAGTATATTTTTTAATAACATGTAATCATATAGACACACATAATTTCCACTCATAATATATAACTCGAGGATGGTACAGGTAAGCCCCAACTCCCAGAGTAGTAACCAAAAAATTGATGATCTTTTTATTAAGAAGACACTACACAGGCATCTTAACTGTACTTTAAAGATGTTTAGGCTACTGCTCAGGGCCTTTATAGAATTTGTGTGGCTTCTGGCCTGTACAAGTGCAGAATGCATAGCATGAAACTTAGGTCTGAAGTCTAGACCTACCTCTGCTCACCAAGTCCTGCTGCAGGGTGCAATAGGCCTGCCTTGTTTTATTTGCACGGACACTACTTGCCTAGTACTGAGGTTTGGGGGTGAGGCATCAATTCAGAGGGAGCCACCTCGCAATAAATCACACACAATTGCAATGTATTGGCTAAACGTGGACCTCTTACTAGCTTACATGTTTTCCAGGAATGTTCCTCTATCTTTGGATCCACAGCAAGCTACTCTTAACACTGCCTGCCCCTCTGCAGCTTGTAAGCTTTATGAGGTTGCTGCGCTGGGCGCAGATCTCCTACTGGTAAACCAGATCACCAACACATTGGATTCAGGGAACCCTGCTCTCCTTCATTTTTACCACTGTTCCCAAGTTTCCTACAGCACAGCAAAGATCAGGCTGTAAATTTCAATGAGATGTTACTGAAAATTACCAGCTTATGTGAGGGGAATATACAAACAACACAAATTTACAGCTTCTGCATGGTGCATACTAGAAAGGATCAGAACAATTCTAGATTCCAATCACTAGACTAGTTCCCTAACACAGACAGACTTGATTCCAAATAATGGAAGTCCATCTACCTCACCCCCCTCAACTTCCATAACTACCCAAAACTGGGAGCATCATTGACCTACTGACTCCCATGCCAGTGGAGAGAGGCAAGCTACTCCCTCCATCTCCACATAGCACTTGAGGGTCTCAAATTTCTTTTCTCAGAGATAAGGATATGAACCTGAAGTCACTGAAAGGTTTATGGAGCTACAATGCTGAGTTGGGAATAGAAATTCAGTTTTATCTTACTCCAAAGCTCATGACCTTTAGGTTAAGATGAAAAAGAAAGCGGCTGACAATATCTTACAGTGAACTAAGTGCTCTACTTTTTGGGGATGGCAACTGTAGGGAACCAGAAATTCTGTCCATGGTCCAAGCCACATTTACACTGCCCTCTGTAGGCCAGGACCTCTGAGAGTTCACCTTTCCTTGGGGTCAGGGATGCAAAGATAGGAGGGCTCAGGGCAGGGTTGGGAGCAGTTCTCTCTTTTCCTTTTGTTGACTCAAACATAGATCTCATTTCTTGGGTGTTAAAAGAAGACACAAATAGACTGCAAAGTCATTCTTAGCCTATGTTCCAGCGGTGGCATCTCGCTCTCTAGTGGACATTCTAAGAATTATCTTAACATAGAAGGGGGTTTTCCACCTTTCTGGTTTTTTTTTTTTTTTTGGTTGGTTTAATTTTTGTAAGACTTTCATGTAAATTACGTAATCTCAAAGTAAGGGTAGGTAGGGAACATTAAATTATTTCCATTTCAGATGTTAAAATTGAGGCTTAGTGAAGTTAGATAAAACAATTTAAGTCACATTTCCCATAAGGAACAGAGCTGGGATTAGATGCTAGGTATTCAGAATGCTGTTGCCATTCTAACACACACACACACACATACAACAGGTGCTCTTGCCACAAAAATAAAAAAAAATGGGAAACTGTGATGCATATGTTAGTTTGCTTAATTCACAGTAACTACTTTACTGTCATCATATGATACATATCAAATACATGCAATGCAATGTGTTTTTCTAAAAAATAAATTTTAAAGACACACTGATGTACTTTATTTAGAGCAAGGAATCATTTCTCAGGAACATCGTGCTGCCCAAAAACATTTACAATTACCTCTTTCTAATTCTGAATTAAATATTAGTACAATTGATATATGAAGAAAGGAGCTCTATCACATTTTTCTTAAATTTTATTGATTTATTTATTTGACAGGCAGAGAGAGAAGAGAGAAAGAAAAAGAGAAAGATCTCATTTGCTAGCTTATTCCCCAAATGCCTTCAACATTCAAGACTAAGCCAGGCCCAAACTGCGAGCTAGGAATTCAGTCTAGGTCTCCCACATAACTGACTGGGACCTGTCTACCTGAAACATCACTTGCCACCTTCCAGGATGCACAATAATAGGACGCTGGAAACAGGAGCAAAGCCAGGACTTGAACCCAGGCACATCAACATGAGGTAGGAGTCCCAAGTGGGCATCTTCATTGTTACACCAAGTGCCCAACTCTCCATCATTCATGCTTTATGCAGTAAAATTTTGAGTTCTTTAAGCATCTAGCTTTAACCTGATAGGTAAATAGGAATGTCCACTGATTCAGTGCCTCCGTCTTTACAACTGAGCTTTTACTGTGATACAGGGGTTTGGAATTTTAGGCCAAGAATTCTGCCACCTTTAGGGATATATGCCTTGAGCAAATGTGACATGGCCTCTGTCTCCATGGACCTTTCAGTGTATTGAGGAGACAGATACTAAAACAAAAAGTTCGAATCAACTGTACTGAATATTTTCTATGATATTGGGGATTCAGTCAGGTCTGCCCGTTCATAGCAGGGGGAACTCATCTGGTGTGAGGAGGGGATGAAAAAAATGTTGTCACAAGAAATGTCATGTAGCTTGGCACCTTAATAATGAATATGACTTATCCCGAAGCAGTGAAAGGGTATTCTAGAGACGGGTCAGAACACAGCCAGTATTGTGGTGCAATGGGTTAAGCCACCACCTGTGACACTGACATCCCATATTGGAACTCTGGTTCGAGACCCAGCTGCTCTGCTTCCAATCCAGCTCTCTGCTAATGTGCCTGAGAAAGAAGCAGAAGATAGCCCAAGTATTTAGACCCCTACCACCCACATGGGAGAACTGGATGAAGCTCCTGGCTCTTGGCTTTGGCCTGGCCCAGCTCTGGCCATTGTGGCCATTTGAGGAGTGAACCAGTGATGGAAGATTCTCTCTCTCTCTCTCTCTCTCTCTCTCTCTCTCCATCTCCATCTCCATCTCCATCTCTCTCTATCATCTGTATATCATCTCTGTCACTCTGCCTTTTAAATAAATAAAATATTTTTAAAAAACCACATTGTTTTGAAAAAGAACAGTTGTAAGGTTCTGGAAGCCAGAATAATTATGGATTCTTTTAGGGATAAGAACTTGTTCTTTATGTCTAGAACACTGATGGAATAAGAAAAAACATCTGGATTATAGAGGATCTTATGTGAGTTGTTCAGGGATTTGAGTAGAAGAGATAATACACCAATCTGAATAGTGGAAAATTGTTTGAACAGGGGCTAAGGAAAGGCCACGACCATAGTCCAGGTGAGAAATGATGGTGATCTGAACTATGTTATGACCATGCTGATGGAAGTGAATACGTTTAAGAAATATGTAGGGTCTAAAGGGGCATGGGTTGATGAACTGTATGTGGGAGATGATAGGTGGATATCCAGCATATTGGCTGAAACAACTGAGTGTATGGTTTCATTCCTTTTGATGGAATCTAGTAGAAAAACTAGTCATGCAGGTCTGAGAGGAAAGTGAGATTAGATTTATGAATGTTCGTGGCCAGTACCCAACGGACAATTTACTTAGAGATGTCCAAAAGGCTGAATATACACAGACATGCAGCCTAGGAAAGAAAGATGAGCTGGAGGTAGATTCTGAAGCCATCAGTGGATGGGCAGTATATGAAGAGGTGAATATATAAGAGGTTATCCAGGAGAGGGATGTGGAGAAGGGACGGTGAAGATCTCCCTGAGTAACATCAACATGTAAGGACTTCTAGATGATCCTCATGGAACCACTCTCCAGAAAAACACAATATTCATGACAATTATATGTATACACACAGTCTTTACACATCATCATAAGGCCATAGAGAAAATGGGGAAGCATTTGTTTAAGAAACTCTACTAAATCTAGGCAAAAATCATGAGAATCTGTGGTGTTTGAAACTGTTCCATCTCCTTCTGCTCCATGTGACAAGCTATGCTCCAGACCTCTACCACCTGCAGATGTGACGAAAAAGCTGGAGCCTCCCATCACCCCAGTCCCTAGTATATGCTTTCATCCCAAGAGGACAAGACCACTAGTGTCTCTTGTCCCCACCCCATAGCCCTGTGTTGCAGAAGTGCTATTTTAGACAAATTTGGGATAGAAGACTAGCTTCCAATATCATAAGGTGATGGCTGTGCCTCAGGTGAGACAAGCTCCTCTGCCCCAGCTCATTTTGTAGTGTGAAGTCTTCTACATGGATACAGAGATGGACACGCTGAATGACTGGGGGCTACCATTTCCCCTCCAGCCTCACTAGCAGACCAGGGTGTTACTGAAGGAGAAGTGCTCTACTATACCCACCCCTGGCTCAGGGACATGTGTCTGGAATTTCTGTTCAGTCAGGCCATAAGGACTAAGCATAGCAGCACTGTCTGAAGGGCTGAATATGTTTGGAACACAACGTGGACGTGTTCATGCCTAACAGCTTTGTTGAAAACAACAGGGATCTTATAACAGCGAGTAATTAAGAGGGTCCTGGTGATTGCATGCAACTAGTGGAAAGTCGGGAATAACCCTATAAAACAACTAGATTAATTAAAGACTCTGCCAGCCAACAACAGCAAACTGCACATTCCATTCAAGTACATGGAACTCTATCCAAAATAGCTCGTATACGAAGTCATAAACATGCCTCGATAGATTTAAAAATATTCAAACCATACAAATTTTGTTCTCTAGCCAAAATTGAATGAAATTAGAAATCAACAACAGAAAGAAATGTGAGAAACCCACACACATGTAAAACTTAACATATTCCTAAATAACCTGTGAGTCAAAGAAATCACAGTGAAAATTAGAAATTATTTTGAG